GGAGCCGGACATCGACCCAAATTAGTAGAGCATAGAAAGGACTTACACTCCGTTTCCCTCCGCTCCAGCCCAATTAGAGGCGTTGCTTTCATATGTGGTATCACAAGATCCTCTATATGATCCTTTAATTCACTCTACGTCTAGAGTTAAACCTAAAAACTCCATGGCTTGTAGTCACTGTAAAAAGTCTAAAGCTAAATGCAGCTACTTGGGCAATAATCCATGTAAACGATGTGTTGAAAGAGGACTCGAATGCACTTTCTATCCACAAAAAAGAAGAGGCCCCAAGCCCGGTAAAAAAACTAAATCGGATACGTCAAACTTGGCAGTTTTTCAAAAATTGAATCAAGACTATACACGAAAGGCCCATAAACTCGGATTTGATATACATAGAATTGTTGCGTCCCCAAATAATTCTGATGTAGCAATTCCAAATTATAATACAATATTGCCCATTGAAGAAAATTTAATTATGGTGTCTCCAGAATTGTTTTTTATCAACCATCACTATCTATATTATCTTCTACCGATTGTGAGGCTTTAAATAGTTCATCAACTTGGGAAGATAATAATAACCAATGTTTCTTTACGAACAACGGAACTGAAGCTGAAACTGACCCTATGTCAACGTTACCTTACCCAAATCATATCCAACTTATTAGTCACTCCTTTCCCTTTACTTATTCTGCTCCCTTCCAACGGTCACGAAATAATACTGATGATATGTACTTTATTTCGTCTTCCTCAAAAGTTGCGCAAATCTCGGGCACAAATCATCAAAGACGCAAGTCAAAAAATCAATAATCGGAACAATAAAATTATGGCTTTGTTCATGTAAGTTATGATCTCATGATTTAAGATTTGAAATTTGGTAAAAAAAAAAAAAAATGCAAAAAAAAATTCACATTATATTTTATTTTTTTTTTATAAAATTAGGTTTGTTTTTTGTACGATTACTTTAATATGTCATATATTCTTAGCTCTCTATAGAGAAAAACCGTAATCGTACATCTCCTTTTCCTTGTTCTCTATAGAGAAAAAACGTTACGGCTGATGCTGAAATTGGCTGATGGTGAATTTAGATATAGTTTAATATGAAATTTTAAAAATTTTTGGGTAGAGATAGAATTTATAATAAAGAGTATATGTTGATTTTAGCAGAACTTGTGTTTTCAAATAGAGATATCAGCATTAGCCAATTTCAGTATCAGCCGTGACAATTATTTGATTTTTCAAATATAGAACATATTTTAATAATTTATGTTCTTAAAAATAATGTCTTAGAGACCATGAAAACATCGAACTTTAAACACTTAGCTGTTCTTATAATGAATATAATTATAGAGAATCAATATAAATTAATTGCCAAATTGATTCTGGGAAAGCCACACAACAAATCACATAAATTGTGCTCGTATTTGATTTGTCATCAAAGTGAGCATAATTATTGTCTGGAGCATGGCGGAATACTCTTTCTAAACAAAGAGATACCAAAATTCCGTTTTTTAATAATGCAGGGCAAGGCTTACTGTTGCCGTTGCATATCTATGCTCCCGAACTTGTAATATTATTAGAGTATTTCTACATGTAGTTCACTGGTAACACCAAGTTAATAAAGTAACCAAAATTTCTTGCAGATTTTGGTATAAAGTGCTCTTTAACTTAATTTCAATACTCATTTTAACTTTAGATCATTTTTATTTGATAAAAATTGATTTATATAATTTGCAGATTAATATGAAAAAGATATTTACCGTAGTTACAAAATAACTACTAATACGTTTTATACAAAGTGCATTTCTATCCAACATGTTAGTACCCCACTTAGCATGATTAATAATTCAGAATCGAAATTACCTACAAAGATATTAATGCGTATATAAAATTAAATCCAAAAATATACATATTAGTAAAAGTTAAATTATTACTTAATAGAAAGTCCAATATTTTAACACATATTCAACCTATATCAGTTCTTCTTTTAACTAGATGTGTTTTACATTATAAAAAAATTTATCCTTATATAAATTAAATTGCAACCCAATTTTCAAAAAGTATTATTTCTGAGTAGGACTATTGTCAATGAATCATCGATTATTATGTACGTAATACTTTATGTCACTGAACAGATTATTTTTCAAATGAAGTAATAAACTTGAAAACCGGTAACAGGTTCCTTTGGCGGCAATTAGTTGCTTTTGATTCCGTCATGGTAACCGATGTACTATGTACATTTTCCCGCAAATTTTTATTAAAATCATGTGAAAAATTCTTATTAATTTTAATAGAAAATCTGCGAAAGTAAGATAAAATTCTTCCTAGGTGTGTGCTTCATACTTGCCAGATAACAAGAAAAAATTATGAATATTTATAATAAAAGATACAACTGCAAAAAGTAATATTCGTATCCAAAAGTATTTTTCTTATCTATAATGAAACCAATAAGAAAAAAAAAAAATAAAGGAAAAAAGAAGCTATAAAATAAAATGTTTGCTACTGTGTATTGTTTATCAATAATTTCGAGAATATAGATAACGAACTAAATATATGTCTGAGATAATATTATTAAAGGGCTATATCCTGGCTGTGAAAAATCATGCGAGCTGAGTCAGAGGATTATGCTTCCAGTCAAAATCTTCTGATAGACAACCTTAGTCTTGCGCCTATGCTGTGTGTCAGGTTTGTTAGGGTAGTTGAGTTGACAAACTAAAATTTGATGAAATTTGTCAGATTGAAATGTAATAGCAATAAATCTTGAATTATTTAACGATTCTTTGGCTATTTTACGCTTTGTATATTGAACAAAACAATTATTAAATGATTGTTTACTTCGCGGAAATTTTGATAACCTGACGGAAAATATGTGCAATAACCAAATCTAAACGAATATATGTATCAAATTAGTTAAAACGTTTCAAAACAGTCTAAATTTGTATTCATCCTTAAGGAATTCTCAAGCGTCTTAATCAACGGTCATTTAAAATGGGCAAAATGCGATGAATTAAATTTTAATGAGTGGAAGATATTATAACCGATCAAACGCACATATCATTACATTAATGAAAAAATTTAATTAATGCAAAGTGATCAGGAATTTATTGTTCATCAACAAAATTTTTGCCTCTTGCCTCTTTTTTTGCAATGGCTTATCAAGACTTTATAAATACCAGAGTAAATAGAGGTACTGTTCGTTATGGACTTTCGTTATCGATACTAACATATACTGCTGTATTAATATTATTAGTATTATTATTTTACTCTTATGTTAAAAATATACTAGTAAATAAAATTTAAAAAAAAACTTCTTTTCAGCAACCCATTATATTTTACCCTGAAAACTTGCATAATAATAGAAATTAATAAATCACAAATAAATAATAGCGACGGCCTGGTTAATGCTATACTTTTATATCTGCAAAATCCCGACAAAAGCTGCTCAAGTGTTGGTTGAGGTCTATATTTTGATCCGTCGTAGCAAAGTGATGCTGACTAAACTTTTTAACATCACTATGTTTTGGTTTTATCACATGATAAAATTGATTTTAACATATATCGTAGTTAAAATTGTTAGAATAAAAACAATATAACTGTAATTAAAAATAGAAATTAATATTTCCACACCGCTTTTTGATAGTGCCACACCCTCGCCGATCATTCTAATTTTTTTAATTTTATTAAAAAAAACTTTAATTGAAGATATCATGACATACATCTGATCAAATTTGTGAACATTTTTTTTATTTTAATTGTAGAAATCTGTAGAATTTAAAGAAAAAAAAAGTTCATCGAGTTTGATCAGGAGATATCTTTGATCAAAACAACAATCTGCAAAATTTACAAAATCTTTGGTCGAGGATATCTCGACAACCACCTGACAAAATTCGATGTACTTTCTTTTATTTTAATTGAAGAAATTTGTAGAATTCAAAAAAAAAAAAAAAGCTCGGCGAATTTAGTCGAGTGGATGTCGAGATATCTTCGATCAAAGTTTTACAACAATCTGCAACGCGGCTTCTATTTGATAGGCGCTAAATTTACAATGTTTTGATCGAAGATATCTCGACGACCACCTGACCAAATTTGATGGGCTTTTTTTTTAATTGTAGAACTCAAAGAAAAAAAGTTTGTCGAATTTGGTTGGGTAAATGTCGAGATATCTTCGATCAAAGTTCGAAAAAATTGTAAAAATTAGAATGATACTGTCATAAAGGGG